CACTAATTAACATAAACATCAAATCCATAATTACAAAAAGAAAGATATCTAAACATGAAATCATGAAACTACTCCCAGGTACAGGATTCGACATTTCAGCAAGCCAAAATACTCATTCCGATACTGCTTTTCCCATTTGTGTTTGAATGATCACAAATTCCTCCTTGACTTCAACCTGCCACACGCTGCCTAGCAAACTGGCACCAGGGCACTTCCCCCAAAATTCGTATCTGTCTTGCTTGTAAAGTTGTAATTCTTTGTTTACTGCAAGAACTTCAACTAATAATGAATCTGATCGAAGAAGTGTATATTTGGCCTCATGCGTATATACGGTATACCTACTTTCATGATCATATCATCATGTTGAAACGACTATGGGAGCTCCCGATAATGATGATTGTGATTTTCTTTTTTCAGAGTCCTTTGAAGAAGGCTCTTTTCCGCTGCTGTTAGACCCTTTTGCATCATCAGAGATCTGCGACGGTGAAGAGGGAAAAAAGCAATTGAGAAAAGCTGAAAACATGGCCATTCTTATACCGCTGTGATCGGTTTAGACTTGGCTGAGTGAGGCTGCTTAGCAAAGTCGAAATGGATGGGAAATGAATAACAAAAAGTGAGAGAGATATGAGTTGTTTTTAGGTCGTTGATTTGCTAATATGGTTGCTCAGTATTTATAGTCGGATGTAAATTTGACTGTTTGCTTTATTAAATTGCGCGGCAAGGATAATGTTGAAGTTCAAACGACTTTCTTCATTAACTTGAAAAGCAAGCAAAATTTTGAAGGTTCTGTCAACTTTGTTGTTACACGACTTACGAGGTACTAGGAACGAGCGCGGCTGCTTTGACCAGGCAAATACTCCATATGGACTGAGCGTGTTGAAACGTGTCAAATCGATATAAAAACTATACTTGTGCCATCGTCTATAGATGTTCTATACACACGATTTTAAGTGGGAGAGAAATCAGCCATGTCCTAGAAGAGGGAGGATCCTGTGAGGATTTTTTTGCGAGGATCTGAAAGATCAATCAATCGTATTTATTCATCGTATATCGTGCAGTTATAAATTATTTTAAAACTTTAATTTAAAATTGAATATAAATAGTACCTAATGAAAATTGATCACACGATGTCCGATGAACGAACACGATTGATTGATCTCCTGATCCCCACAAAGAGAATCCTTGTCCCTAGAAGAGGATCATCTTCAGATCCATTTTGTGGGAGTCCTAGGGATCCCCACATTCTAGCCGTTCATTGTACATCGTGCGGTCAGTTTTCGTCAGGTACTATTTATGTTTAATTTTAAATAAAAAAGTCAAATAATTTCTGACTGCATGATGCACGATGAATAACAAAGATGTAAGGATCCCTAAGATCCCCATAGAGTGAATCTGGATAAGATCCAAATCCGTTCTATAATTGTAAATTCTTATTATTTAATTGACAATTTTCTCAACCAAAAGCCTAAATTAGCAGAGGATTGGAGTTGGTTTAATTGCACCTTCACCTATTTTGCATAGCGAAAGGCAACGGGAACTTGTTCAATTGATGTGAATTACTTAATTGCAGTAGCAATTTTTTTTTTCTCTTTTCTCACCCATAACGTGAGATTGACAAGACAATTACGGTTCACAAAAGATATGAAAAATAAATAATTTTTTTCTTTCTCCTCGCTAACGAAGTGAAATAGCCAAGGCAATTACTATCCACAAAAATATAAAAAATAAAATTTTGTATGAAGTTTTTGTATGGGGAGTGAATAAGAATATGGTTGGGATTTTTCTAAAAAGAAATTGAATTTTTCAGATTGTTTTAAATTTATTTTTATTTTAAAAACAACGGTAATTGTTGGATATATAATCGGTGTGACAAATTGACGAGATGATATCATGTGGTACGAAGCCTGCCAACTGAGGCCAACACGTGCAACACATATGCATGACTCAAAAAAAAAAGGGTTGTGCTATCCATACATCTTATTTTACTTTTCACACACATCTTGATAATTTCTGGCTGTTGATATTCTTTAATTCATTCGATCCGACGGTCGAAAATAAAAAAGGTGTGTGAGAAGTAAAATGGGATGTGTGAATATCACATCCCAAAAAAAATATAATGTGGCTAATGTCATGATTACGTTACATTATTTTCCGGGTGAAGCTCGAGCAAGTTCAGTCTAGTCCATTACCTTGGGTTTGTGGGTTTCACATTCTGCCAGGGCTCCCACTGATTCCGTCAATTTACAGTAGTAAAGTAATTTTATAGTAATTTTATAGTTTTTTATTTATTTATTGATAATTCTTGAATCTTATAAACTAATGCTGCATCTTAAAACGATATGCTACCTGAAAATTGTATCATGGGGCATAAAAAAACAAAATAATACACTACCAACTTTAGCTGCATCTTAAAAAGAAATAACGAAATTTGACTAGTGTAGTTCGACAATATATAGTCATAAAGTAAATAATTCACTATAAATAGGATCTTGTTACATGCACGCCGGTTTACACATTCTTGCACTCCTTTCCATAAGCTCTTAAAACAACAAATTCAGTATTAACATCATTGTTTGAACAGTACACAATCCATTTACACATTTTGAATTTTTGTGATAAAAAAAGTGTGCATATTCAAAAACAATTTATCAAAGGGTGATGCTAGAGAGACTATATGCTTATTCAGAAATAATTTATCAAAGAGTGATAATAGAAAGATCATCTACTAAAAAATATTGTGTAAACCACATGGTGTGAAGATTGATAGTTAGATTTCTTCTTTAAATCGTTAAAGAAAGAACACAACCATCAACCTCACATCATGTATCGTCTAAAAACATGGTCTCCATGTCGAAGATATTGCCTGGAATTCAATCTTGAGAAGAAACCTTTTAGGATAATGTCTAAATGTATAGTTATATCTAATACAACAAATGAGCAAAGTAACTCATTAGGACTATCTCAATTAAATGATATACATACAAATAATGAATCCATGGATAATGGACTGATGGAAGAAGTAATCTAAAGAAGTTAGACTACAGAGACCTTCTTTACATAACCATAATGTCCAAAAAGGTTCCTAATCATAGCATTGTGAGATGGACGCTAACAATCCGAATAAACTAGTACGTCCTATGTCTTTTCAATTTGAAGGATGACAACTCTCAAACTGTTTGTGTAGGGACACTAAGACAAGATGTAAATACTCATTAAGGGAATGAGTTCACTGAACACAATCAAACAAAAGTACTTAAATAGAGGTCTACTCACATGTCAAGCAAGTAACTTTACTGGTTGGGATAGTGTAAGTAGTCCTTCCACATCTTGGACGTGTTCTATACATTGTTGGGGTAATTAATTTATTCTTAGAGACATTTGAATATTCAACAAGGAATCTCTAATCCTTAGTATAAGAGGATGAATACTCTACGATATGATTTGGGAATCTTCGGCAGAAGTATCGAGCATAATAAGGGAAGAAGGCATTCCTATACTTCTAAAATGAATCATATGAGTTAGTATCGAGCGTAATAAAGTAACCATACCCTGGCAATGTGGTTGAGAGTATTGAATTAGAGAAGAATTGAATCACATTGTAATTCCAACTGAATTAGTTTTCCGACCAATTCTTCATTAGCTTGGGTAGCCATGACTTATGGCTAGATGTCACTCATGGTTTTTGGGTCCCTCTTGATGGTTAACTAAGTAATCATCAAATTAGTGAGAGAAGTAAGTTTTAATTTAATTAGTGATTGTGTAAGTGTTGATCAATTGGATTGATACCAATCACCTCATTGTCTCACTAATTAGAACTTAAAACGATTGTACACCAATACACTCATGTGGTAAGATAACTATAGGATGATATAATTAATTAATTAGAAAGTCTTAATTAATCAAGGAAGCGATGAAATTTCGCTTTTGGGCCTAAAAGTAGTTCGGGTTCTTTAATTTCGGGTCCATTGGGCCCAAAATCGTTAGGTTTTTAACATAAGAATAAGATGACTTAAAATGATAAAATCTCAGCCCAAACATATCACTTGAGGGCCGGCTAGTGGGAGTGGAGTTGAAGGAGAAAAATCAATTTGACTGACTCACTTCTCTTTCCCTTTAAAAGGGGTGCTAAGGAAAAGTTACCAAGGTTTTGAGTGTGGTAACTTCACAACAAAAGAAAAGAAAAAAACTCTCTCTTTGGTTATTCCTTCATCCATCTTCCCACACTAGTGGGTGTAGATCTCTGGAGGCTATCTCCTTCGGTAGCTTGAAGATAATCGATGGGATCCAAATCATTCAAGGTGGATGAAGCAAGGAGGGAGGCTAGGAGAAAGGACCTTGAAGAATGAGAGGTCTTGGAGGTTGTCTATCATTTGACTCAAGTCTAATCCAAAAGGTATGACATACAAATCTCTCTCTTTGTTATCAATATGACCCTTTGATGCATCAAGTAGTGATTTTTGAAAGGTATTTGCATGACTATAGCTTTGATTTTATGCTTCCGTTGCTTATGTATATAAATTTTGAATTGTACATGCATGCTAGTCATTAGAAATCCCATCTATATATCTAGTTTTCCCTTCACTCCCTAGCATCTCCCTTTATAAAAATTGCAACCCAAAAAGTTAGTGTAGTAAAAAGCAACCAAAAGTTTGAAATTCCCAACTTGAATTTAATTTCCATGGATATATTCTAGTCGAGTGTATTCTAGCATCATTGAATTGTATAAAAATATATGAACAAAATAAGTAAAATATTATAACCGATTATCTATTTGCTACAATTGATTAATTGACAAAACGATCTTAATTTTCAATATATATATATATATATATATTTTTTTTTTTATAAAGATAATCTTAATAGATTAATTTATAATATATGATTCCGATTATAAAACACGAAATCCTGTAAACAAATTATCAAGTAATTTGAAGAGGAACTCCGTAACTTAAAAAACAAGTGTTTTTCTTCGGACTAAACTATTGAGTGATGTATTTGTCCAATATACAGGGTAGGGGAGGTAGCGAGTGGAGTTTGCCACTCTCTCGACCTTGAGCTCTATATTTTCGTATAAAATAAAATTCAGAACACGAGCGTTATCGTCTTCTTCGTTCCCAAACTTTGCCCCTTTGGATTTAGGAAAAGTGGAAAGATGCCTCTCAAGCTATCCGACGCCACCATCTCCACCTTCGACAGTGCGTTTGAGAAATTCAAAGCAGAAGCTCCAAACAACAAAGCCAATTTCATCCTCTTCTTGGCTGACAAGGACCCTTCTACCTCTCTCAGCTGGTGCCCTGGTTTGTATTTCTTTCTTTCATTTACTTCAAAAACTAAGAATTTATTTTTATGTATATTATTCAAGAAAATTTCAGCAATCCATTACATAATTCTTGTGAAATTGTTCGATTCTGTTGCAAATTCTTTATCTTTGTTTTTGTTTTTTGGTATTTTTTTTTCTGATCGAATAATAATGTATTGTTTTTACTGGAGTCTATTTGGTTTAGGAATACTTATCGGAACATTAAATTGAGGAAAGTTTTAAAATTTATTCAAGTTGTGTACTGCCCACCTATTGGGAGTGGGTGCCCCACTTACTCGAGGGCTTAAGGCGTGCTCGATTTAACCTCAATAAGAGGTGATGATGAATCCCCCACCCACTTGACAGTCTTAAACTAATGCTCCATCATACAACTGATCTTTTTAATGACGTGCTTAGTTACAAACTCACGCTTATAGGCTTGGCCGAATTCAGCAAAACTTATTAACAGGCTGAGGAAACTTTATACATAATTTTGCATCACTAAGAAATTACATTTTGAAGAATTCCAATCCTACCAACACGGAAGGATAAGTTTCTTCATGACTAATTCATCTTCTACCTTCAACTTGGACAAGATTTGGAAGTTCACATCCATTTCTTACTTCAACATACATTGAATGTTTCCAATCCTAGGCACCGAGCAAGGCTTGAGTGTAGGATGCATTGTAGCATAGGCTGCTCACTTTGTATGACACTAGAAAATCCAAATTCTACAAAATGCTTCTCTTGATTCAAAATCTTAAAATTCTTGCTAGAAAGTTTTTAAGTTGAAATTTTCCCTTTAGATATATTTTGTCTCACCACGGATTTGGAATGTATATTCGAAAAGAAAGAAGTTGCTATCATTCATTGAGGTCTTCTCTGTCAATTTTGGAGTGGCTTGTTTTGTGAGGATGGGCATCTGAGTGAAAATGGGCGCTCAGTACTTGAAAAGCGAAGGAAAAAAAAAAAATGGTAGAAAGCAAGTTTCTTTCTGTCTCATCATTCTAAATAGTTTGTGTATTGAAGGGGGTTCAATGTGAAAATGGATTCCTGGAGCAAGTGAGGGAAAGATGCTATTATTGAGAGAATGTCGTTTCTTAATAGAAAATTGTATGATGGGACACCTTGACATGAAAATGCTCCTGGTGAGAGTTGCAAATCTTGAATCAGCAGAACCACAAAAATGAATCATGGTCCTGATCCTATTGAAACTCAAGGTGGTGATGCATCTTAAGACATTTCAAATCAGAAACATTGATTTGCTATGTCGTTGAGTAAACACAGTTTTTACCAGGAGCTCCCGTAAAGGAACTAGTTTCATGCTTCTCCTACTATGACTGCATTGAGAACTACTTGGCCGGAGTCCTCCAATTTATGGTTAATTTTTTGTTAACGTAAATGGAATGTGCAATTATACATGATACGATGTCCCTTTTCTATGTCAGATTGTGTGAGAGCTGAACCTGTAATCTACAAAAAGCTAGAAGCTACACCAGATGATGTTGCACTTTTGAGAGCATATGTCGGAGATAGGCCAACATGGAGGAACGCACATCACCCATGGAGAGTAGACTCAAGGTTTAAGCTGACCGGAGTTCCAACACTAATCCGCTGGGAAAATGATGCGATCAAGGGTCGGCTCGAAGACCATGAAGCGCATGTTGAAAACAAAATCAATGCGCTTCTTGCTGGAAATTAAGTTTGTATCATTTGAATATCTAAGATGGTTGAATTTCTTGGATGCCTTATGACTTGTTAGACTAATGGCCGTACTTGCATTCTGCATACTATAATAATAGTAACAAGAAATAATGTCAAGACTTACCGGCAAATTGTTTTTGTTTCCTCTCTGAACTTGTTACTTGCTAGTGACTAGTCTAGCTGAATGTAACTTGAGTTTCAAGTTGTAGTTACCGGCTAGTTACCTTCTAAAAACGTACCTGTAAATTTAACAAACAGTAATTGTGAAGGACTCGATCGTTTTCACTTTGAATCACGTTGAGTGTTTGGAAGAAATAAGTTCATCGTAGGACTTGGGAGGCATCATGCCCACTGCCAATTGGTCGTATATTGCCAGAGTGTCACCATCAAGCAGTCGACAGGCCAACGACCCGTCGCCCATCTCCACCCCGATCACCCATCATATCGGGAAAGTCGATGTTCAGGGTTTGGTTGATAACAAGCGGGCCTGAAGCTAACCGTATGAAACCGATGAAAGCATGAACCATTTGAAAATAAGGATTGTATTAGCAATTTATACATAGTTTACTTAAAGCTCAAGCTATGAGCGGAGTAATTTAATTTACACAACCTCCTCTACTATTTATACACATGCGGATGGACTCTACTAACACTTCTCTGCTTCTCTGTGAGGTCAAAAATTATTAACAACATTGCAACGTTTGTACAAACTCAACACTGCCTTTCCTTCCTTGTTCTTTCACCTGGCAATGCCTGCAACTCAAAGAAAATAAAGAACCGCATGGTTAGTGCAAGCGAGAGCAGACACACACAAGTAAAAACTGAACTGGAAATACAAAAAGAAAGATGACCAATGAGAATATGAACTACTGTCTACTCACACTGTCTTACTCAGCTTCTGAAAAACAGTTCAATCCCGTGTTTCCAAATTTTCTCCAGAGCATTTTTCAATGCTAATTTACCTCAAGACAGTGTAGCCACCTTTGTAGGGAAAACACCGTGATTAGACAAAACTTGCCAATCATGCCGAGTCTTACAGAGTTGCTAAAATTCAGAAAGTCCAAGCACTAAAAACATATCAAAGTGCATATGACACCACAGAGAATATTGCAAAGATAAGTTTGCACTAAATTACCTCATATGCTCTTAAATTTAAGCCTTTGATAGGGTTCGGGTCAATGTCAAACTAATGTCACCATAAGGTACTTCTTGTTTTACATCAACAAGACCGTAAGTCTTCAAAACCTGAAATTGACAATGAACAATCACATTAGTAGTTACATACCAAAAAATGCTCAATTCGTACTTCAACAGGCAGTATAAGTTTTCTTCACCCAAAAAAAGAAGGGCACCATATGTTTTGCTTGTTCAAGTAGTATGAAAGGAAACAAATGGCAAACCAATTTAACAAAGAAATCACTCAAGTCCAATACATTTCACTTGATGTCAAACTTGTGGTGCTAAGAGAGTGATTTTTCTGGCTTATTGTTTGTGGAATGACATTTGCTGGAACAAATATCAGGGTGAAATTAACAAAGAAAAAAAATCTTTTTTAGATCAAAGAAAAACAAATTTTGGATAATTAAACCGTTTTCCAAGAACTAGGTTATCATGAACATCAATTATCCCCAGCTGTGCATTGAAAACTATACAAACATTTTGCTCCCTTGGAAAGAGACTCTAAGAAAAGACTTGGACTACTTGGATCTAACAGAAGTCATGACACAAAACAGTGCACAATGGCGTTCTAGGATTCATATAGCCGACCCCACTTAGTTGTTGTTCCTACTTCATCTAAGATAATACAAATAAGAGCGAAGGAACTTCCTAGCTCCATGCAACTAGCTGATTAGGGTTCCTCTAAAAACAAGAAAACCCGCTCTATGACTACCCAAGAATCCTGTTTTCTTACATTTCTATGATGTATATATAAGATCCATGCTACATCAAATACTTGGCGAACTTCAAAATTTACTATCAATAAAAGCACACGCATCCAAAACAAGGCAGCCAAACAGAAATGGGTCAAAAGAATTACCAGTGTTTCATAGAACATTCGAGCACATAGCTTTCTAGTTTTTCCTTCTAAAATTTTGTCCAAGCTGAGATCTCCAGTGACGTCGTCTGAGGTTGAGGTGATAGAAGATTCCCTCTTTAAAAATTGAGCCACAGCCCTGCAACCAAACGGGGAGAATAGTAAGAAAAATAGAGATAATGAGCCACCAAGTACAGAAATACCATGACTAACTAAACCCTTTGTAAATAAAACAAAGAAAGAAACAATTGAAAGAGAAGTACCTGGTTCTAACAGACAATGAATCAACTCCTTGTGTCCCTTGAGATCCTGGTACTCCTTGTGTCACTTGAGATCCTGGAACAAGCATAGATATGTCATCAAAACAGTGTATACAAAAGTAAATGAATATGAAGAATGTTTACTCAAATCACAGATCAAATAAGATTTCTGAGTTTACCAGCTGGTGTATTGCCATCTGCTTCCAGAAAAAAAAGACCCTACAATGAACAATTCAAGGGTTAGGAGTTAGGATTATTATAAAAACAAGAATATGATTACATACTTGAGACTCCAAATAAAAGGCTATGGGGAGAACAATGGGGACGCCCCCATCCCACGCCAAAATATAAAGTACATATTCTCTTCAAGTAAAAATATGGCCCTTGAAAATGAAGTGCGTGGTAATTAAAATAAATACTAGTCTTGCCCTTATTTGTACTGCAGTTTTCTGTTGGCCAATATGCATTCATGTTTTGTATTTCAAACTTTTTTATAAGAAACAGAAGCTTTTAATATTTATTAAAGTATTTGTATCTCGTTTTACCTTTGTTTCTAGCCTGGCAACATGTACCATGCTTTTACATCAATTTGTTTTACCTTAGCTTGACAATTAATTAAGAAATGTGGCTTACACATTGATCTTTTTGTAGCAAAAATCACATAAAGCTTATGCAAACCTAATCAAAATGCAGAAACTTTCAGGATGTTTGGTTGATGATTTTCGCATGCATTTCAATATTCCGAGAAAATAACTAATATTTGAGAGATGCTAAATTGCTAATTGACCTTTTTATTTTCTGTTTTAATTATATGAGTGGAATACTTGTCTTGTAGATATAATAGATGACTATTTACTCAAGGCCTAAGTGAAAAACTTATAGAGCTCAGTCTAATGAGCTGTGCGCAATAAAGTGAGCTGTTTGTACAGGCCTTAGGTTCTCTATAAAGTTTCCTGAGCCTTAAACCTTAAACCAAATGCCTCTTGCAAACATAAAGAACTTAAGGCTTCCAACAAATGGGCACTGAACAGTAAAATAAAAAGCAAAAATGATATCAAAGCCAAATACAATTTACACAGAACACATACAAGACCAAATACTAAATAACTTACTGCTTCTGCAGAATCATTTAACTCAGGATTATTTGATAGACCTAGCCACTCCTCGAACATTGTCTTCGGTGTTTCATTTACAGACTCGTGAAATCTAGTCGATGCTGTCTGATCCGGTGTCAGCAGTATTTGAGTTCCCGTGCTTGTTTCCAATGGAGGAACTGAAGCTGACATTAGGTTTGGAGACGGAGCAGGAATAAAGTCACTTTGAGTGGCAGGAGATTGTGCACCCTCATACTCTGGTAAGTTGTTTCCACCATCATGTTCTTCAACATGCTGAAAACGTTCAATTTGCGGCGGAGATTGTGCACCCTCATACTCTGGTAAGTTATTTCCACCATCATGTTCTTCAACATGATGAAAACGTTCAATTGTTGGGGGAGATGGTGCGCCATAAAACTCTGTGGAAGCTTCAGTGACAGGAAAAGATGGTGGAACACCGCGCTCTGGGGAGAATTCAGTTGTAGGAGGAGGTGTTGTTGGAGGAGGAGATGTTGTAGATCCAGAGACTGGAAGAACTCCCTCAAACAAATGGGACTGTTTGGATATGTAGTCTCTGTCGAAAATGTTATGCAAAGACGAACACAATCCTACAGGCAGACACCAAGATCCTCATAAATGAACTCATTTAAATGGAAAACATGCAGTGAGAGAAAATACATAAGGGAAAACAAGCAGTGAGAAAAAATACATAAGGGAAAAGATCCCCTCACCAGTTAATGAAGGCTGGAAGAACACTTGTTCCCTTCTTAAACTGTTATTCAACTTCCAAACAGCCAAAGTAGAGCAAGGAATATTCCTCCTTTTACGATTTAAATCACTAACATCTTGAAGTGTCTTATTCATAAACCTACAAAATGCACAACCTTACCTCAGTAATCAATATCAGAAAAAAAAATGACCCTACAGTAATTATATGTGCCACCATACTCATTGGATAACACAAGGGTCTCATCAAAATACTGCTTTCTCTTCCTTGCTCTTGCTCTTGGCTGCTCAAGATGTGGTGTTGATTGCATTTCTGCAACAGGAGAGAGAAACATTCAAGGGAAAAACAAGGTTGGGTCTTATTAATGCGTACATATTAACATACATGTTAAGAACGTTATAGACAATGAAACTCTACTCACGAAAGTAAACATCTTTGTCATTCATGTCAGGCAAAGAAGCAACAGATCGTGGTCCTGAACTTGGCAGAGGCGATGGAGATGGTCCACCAGAAGGTGTATTTTCCTCTGTAATTAGAGAAAGTGTATCTTTCTCATCATTTCTGGGTTAATGGATTTTTCTTGTTCAGTAATATCATTCCTGTTATTAAGAGAAACTGTAGGAACAATTTCCGGAGGAACAGCATCTCGCATAATTTCCATTGGTTGAACATGTTGAGGGGAACTGTCATCTAGAAGAGGAGCATCATCTTGCATAACTTCTGTTGGTTGAACATACTGAGGGGAACTGTCTTCGGGAAGAACATCTTGCATAACTCCCGTTTCTCTATAGTTACTTGGAACAGAATCTTGGAAGACAAAATCATTTGGAACATCTACTTCTCGAGCTTCTTTATTTGGAGGGGTGAAGCAATCACTTGGAACACCGTCGCCTGGAGTTGTAGAGTGGATGCTGTAACCATGGGAACATAACCAATAAATTTACGGCTTTGTCAAACAAATATTTGAACCATACATAAAAATTCAAATGCACTAGGAATCATACTCCTCATCCAT